TATGTTAATTTATGATTACTGTAATGGATGATGGTAGAAACCAGGGGTATTCTGAACATGCCAGCACATTACATGGTTCAATATAGATCAATTGAATTGAATTGAATTTTGTTGGTTAAAATCTTGGGTGACAAAAGGAGAGAGAGAACAAAAGGAAATGCCCTGACACAGAGGCAGGGTGGGATGGGGGAATGGGGGGTGGGAGGGATACTGGGACCCGTGGTGGTGGAAAATGGGCACTGGTGGAGGGATGGGTGTTTGATCATTGTATAATTGAAACCCTAGCACAAAAATTTGTAAGTCTACAACTGTACCTCATGGTGTTTCACTAATAAAAGTAAAAAAAATAAACAACAAAAAAATAAAATCTTGGGTGAAATACAGATTGCTGCATAAACAAAGCAGAACAATTTTGTCACAGCGGAATGGGCCGTACAAGAAGGCGTGGAGCCCGCTCAGGAACCAAACACTTCCATCTTCATTTCACCTGCCCAGTGGGATGGGCTATGAAAATCATGAAGTTTTTTAGGATATACAATTTTAAAATCAAAGAACTTAATAAGCACATCACTTTCTCCAGCTCTAGTGTTCTGTGATTACTCTGCTAACCCAGAGTGATTACATGAATATTAAATGAACGGTTTGAAGGCTCTAATGCTGTGCTCTAGTGGGCTGGGGTTGAGGGCCACATGACAATTTTATATTTCTGAATGAATGTGCTCCATATGGACTTTAGCATATTTTATTATCATCAGGGAAACAGTTTTCCTTCCTATAAATTAGTTTTGGAGATGTGTGAACAGGGAACATTTCTCTTAGCTGCTTTTAATAAACTGTTGAGTGTTCTACTTGTAGATGTTACCAATTGACTTAATTTACTGAATAAATCAGTTGTTTTGACACCACAGTTGCTTTTATTTAGTTAAGTTGTTGACACATACCTGGTGTCACTCAGAGGCTACACCTGGTTCTGTGCAGAGGGTCACTGTTGGTAGTGCTCAGAGGACCATATGGTGCTAGGTATCCAATCCATGCTTAGCCATGCAAAGCATTCACTCCAGGTCCCATTGAGCTAGCTCTCTATGTTGCCTGTCCCCTAAGATAAAACGCGCTTTGAAAAAAACGCACTTTTTCATGGCCATACCCAACAATGCTCAGGGTCTACTTCCAGCACAGGGTCTCCTTCTAGATTAAGGGTCACTCCTGGAGATGCCCAGTGGTCCAAATGGTGCTGGGGTTGGAATCTATGCATCCTGAATATAGACCATGTGTATTAGCCCTTTGAGCCATTCCCCAGTCCCAGTAATCAACTTCAAAACTCACTGAAATAATCAGAGTCTAAAGATGTGTGAGGCTTATCATTGAATGGTGAGCTGTTTTCCCAATATTTCACGAACACTCTGCATATTGGGGTGTTGGATAACATTGGGTTACCCTTGCTCCTCCTGCAGAGAGCTTAAAGTTTATTGAGCTACTCCCACAACAGTGCCCCTGAGGCACACCCAAGTCCATAAAGCACTAATAATCCTATATTGCTTTTCTCTTTCCTTTATGTCATTTGCATGGTTTATTTAACAATGTCCTTTTTGTATAGATGGAGAAGGCACTTGATGCTATGCTTTGTAACTTGGGAGTTAATTGACTCCAAAATAATATTTACTTCTGAGAATCCATATTCACTTGGCTTAAGCCTCAGTTGCTCTCAGTTTCTAGCTCCCCAAAAGTGGGGTACTGACGAGGGACTGAATGGACCCATGGCAAGCTGTGAGCTACTCTAGAAATGGGCCAGGCCAAGCACTATAATACTTAACTATAAGTTAAGAGCACAATCATGGGACAAACTGTTATGACCCAAAAATAAGTAACTGAATAAGCACCATGCTGGAGTTAGGAAACACTAACCTGGCCTGAGGACTGTGGTCTGGAATATATAGCGAGATTTCCCCAGGAAGAGCCAACCTTTAAGCTTAATATATCTCTTACTCTGTTCATATAAAATGACATTGCTAGAGATATTATAAGAATTAAATTTACTATGATTGTTTAAATAGCTTACTCGCTGAGAAAAGGAGAAAGCAATACATCCTGGATGGAATCTCGCCCTTGAGTGGATCTATTAGTAATCGGGAGTGCTAAAACCCTGAGATGAGATTTTGTTCTTGAGTTAATCTCCTAAAAGTGTGGCTTTACATCTGTTTGTTGTTATGATAATGTTCACTCTCACCTTTGTGTAATCCCCACCCTTCATGACTTCTATATAACTATGCTGTAAGGGGTAAGAGGGGACGAGATGTTTAAGACTAGAAAGTCGATGACTGGAGAGAGGATGAGAACTGAGACTGGGACTTTGAGACTAGAAGGATGACTAGATGAAGATGTCACTTCACTGTCACTGTCCTCCCGTTATTCATCGATTTGCTGGAGTGGGCCCAGTAATGTCTTTGCAACAATTTTTACTGTGTTTGTCATATCGAATACGTCACGGGTAGCTTGCCAGGCTTTGCCGTGAGGGCGAGATACTCTCAGTAGCTTGCCTGGCTCTCTGAGAGGGGCCGAGGAATCAAACTCGGTTCAGCCATGTTGGTGGCTTGCAAGGCAAATGCCCTACCTGCTGTGCTATCGCTCCAGCCCAGATGAAGATGATGACTGGAAATAGAGGACTTTGAGGTCTATGAGACTAGGATGATGAAACTATAATGACTGGGACTATGACCAAAACTACGACTACGATTGTGCCATAAGGGGAGAGACTGGGCTACATTGGGGAAGAGAGAGAAATAAACTGGCTACCGACCAGCCTGGGGCCAAGGCCCTGATTCTTCATTCCCTCAGTCCTTTGTCCATCCATCCGTCCATTGCATTGGCCGGCCTGGGGGGTGGCTCTCGGCCACTGAACGCTCGAGTCCTGTGAGTGCCCATTTGCTTTTTTCTCTTTGAAACTCATAGCTGGGTACACTGGGAGGTGCTCAGGGCTTACTCCATGGCTTTGTATTCAGGGATCACTCCTACTAGTGCTCAGAGAACCATATGTGGTGCCAGGAATCAGAGTGGTTTGGCCATGTGCAAGGTGAAAGTCTTAATCCCTGTGCTACCTCTGGCTCCAAGTTTGCTTTTGTGTGTGTGTAGTAGAATAAAAATCTGTTAAGATTATTAGGCAAGAAATGAATATTTAAGGTTTATTGGAGTACTATTGAATCTTTGAGAAGAAAATATCAAAGTGATAAATCTCCTCCTACTACCCCAACTTTTATTTCCCTTTTATCCCCATCATTATGTTAAATATTAGTTAAGAATGCATTAAAATCATTATGAACCGAGGCTGTTGCCCTATATGAGATTTCTCTCATAGATAAAACTCTTAAAACTCATCTTTTTAAAAAACTTGAGTAGCATAATCTCTTTGCACGACTTTTTTCTGTTAGAGAGAGATGGAGGTGAGCTGCTGAAGCATACTGAATTCTTGAATCCTCTGGTGATGAGGAAATGTGGCCAACTCCTGGCACTGCTGTCTAGATCAGTATTCCAGTTATCAACCAAACTGGCATGTCCTCCTGGCAAGGAAGGAAGAAAACCCTCAAAGCAAAAACATTCAGTTCAGCAACCCTTAATTGATCATTTCTGTTCTTGTTACAGTGTGGAAGTTGCAATGACAAATTTCAGAGGACCCAGGGAATTCAGATAGGATGGGGAGGGAGACTTGATGAAGAGCTGATTGTTCATCAGAAGTGAAGATAGTCATGTTTAGCTCGAAGTGAAGTATACAATGGGGGATGGGGAAACTGTCTCCAAGATGCTCTTAGATATGTTAGTTGATAATGGGTAAATTCATGATAGCACAAAAATCTGTAGAGGATTAAAACTCAGTGTGTGTGTGTGTGTGTGTATTTATATCTTATTTATTCATCGATTGCCTCGAGCAGGCCCCAGTAACGTCTCCTTTGTCCTAGCCCTGAGATTTTTTTTAAAGTGCCATATTCAAGGCTCTTTCAGAGTTAGGAGAATGAGACCCTTCATTGTTACTGGTATTTGGCATATTGGGTACGCCACGGGGAGTTTGCCAGACTCTGCCGTGTGGGCAGGTTACATTCGGTAGCCTGCCAGTTTGTCCAAAAAAACAGTATTTGCGGACCAAAATTCGCAGTATTGTGTACATACACCTGGCTCTGTGCTCAGGGATCATTCCTGGTGGGCATGGGGAATCGTATGGGATTCTGGAGATCAAACCCTGGTAGGCTGTGTGTAAGGCAAGAACCCTACTCACTGTACTATTGCTCAGCCCCCAAAATCAGAGTATATTTTGAAAATTAGCCATCAAATTAAATTTGACTTATAAATAGTACTAAGGGTTTTGGACCAAGTATCTTCTTTGATTTGACCCCTGACACAAAACCATGATATAATAAAAAATTTCCTTCATAAATACTTACATGCATGGTTGAGTGTGCCAGTTATACCAATTCAGTGCCCCATTGTTACCTTATATATAAAAATTTGTGTATAAATTACTTAAGCTAATTAGTTAGTTACAGGTTTAGAGGTAAAATTATCCAGGATATGGGAACTAGGATTGGGATTAAGAACAATAAGACTATATATGTATATAAAGGACCTGATGGAATGCATGATACATTTATCATGTTTAGTCTTTATTAACACAGAGAAAATAAAAGTAGGTCACACTTTCAAAAGGAAAACAACATGTAACTTGAAGCATATTCATTGAAGCACAATGATATGTTCTTTAGGATGGGCCAGTCCCAATTCTGTATTTCAGTTGTCTCAGGTGACTAACAATTTGAAAGTGTCTATTTGTCTCATGTATGATCTAACAGCTTTTCAGCTTGCCAGAAGGTACTACCTGCAATATGTAAGTTATTACTTGGTAGAACGCTTTGACACACTGCTCTGAGAATGAAAAATATTTGGGAAAATAAACTGTGTTTCACCCTTCAGTTCCTGCAAGCGTAACTACAGTCTGTACTATTATTATTGTTTTTCAGCCCCTCTGACTGATAAGCCACCCAAGCTTTTGTATCCCATGGAAAGTAAAATGACAATTCAGGAGACTCAGTTGGGTGAGTAATTGCTTAATTTGAGTTAATACACTTTTGTCAACACACTGTGATATTTTAAAAGCCTAAATAGCAACCTGATATATTGCTCTGAATGAAGCCTATGTGTATTTGAAAGGAAGACTATTTTAAAAATGCCAGCAAACATGGTTCATTTCATCCCCTCAGTATTACATGCACTAGGGTCAACTTGGACCTATAGATAGAGAAATTTATGTGTTGTTTAGATGGTTGTTGGAAAGAAAAATGGAATGAAGTTTGGTATCTGCTGATGGTATTATGCTATCATTTTATAAGACAAATTTATTTTAGGATAGGCAATATGAAACAATTTGACTTAAAATGTCCATTAATACACTAAATCATGATTTTTGAAAATTGTGGGAAACACTTCAGATTTCAGAAAATAAATGTCAGCACTACAGCTAAGTCATTTTATATAATCATACGTAATATACATTATCCTAGTTATGTGATGGATAATAATATGTGAGCAAGTGGCTTTAGGTTAAAGGGCTAATGGATTTGGGACATAAAAACTTGAAGAGAATATGCTTTGGTAAAAATATCCAGTTGTTCAAAAATCAGATGTCTTAAATTTAGAATTGAACCTACAATTTGAGTTTGATTTATTCATATTCAATTATACCAAATTTAGAAAATTTCCATTCCTAACTATAACTAAAAGATAGCACAATTATATTCTGAGCTTTTATTTGAAATGTAGTATGCATGTATAATATCATAATTTTAGCAGGGAAGTATTTGTTTTAGAGGTTTGAGATAAAGTATTAGTAAAAGCATAATTGATTTTTTATTATATAAGTTTGTTAAGGATTTTTCTTCTGTTAACTATTTCAGAATAGAAATGCTTTTATTTCTATATACATTTAAAAATAATTGTTAGCATACCCTAAAGGTTATCAATGTTGTTTTCTGGAGTGAGAAATTGGTTTAAATTATAAAGTCTTTAAAATAAGTATAACATATGTGATAAGATTTACTAAAAGCATACATATAATCATTTGTGCAAAATATAATGGTTTTAAGGAACTGTACATTATTAAAGTCAATAACTTCTATTTATCTGAAGATACATAAAATTAATCAATTGTGACATTAGATAAAATTGTGTACTGCGTGGATTTGTCTTCATCTCCAAATTACTTTTCTCTGTCCTTTACAAGCTATGCCGACCTCTCCCTTTTCACATCCCTTGCATCTTACTTTACTTTAAGTTTCTTATTGGAACTCATAGGAATATTTTAAATTCTTTCTGTGTAGAATGGAAAGAGGACTGACAAGCAAGGTACTTGAGTAAAATTTACAAAATTCATTTAAAATAGTAAATTGGGGGCCAAATAGTACTGTGGGTTGGGCACTTTCCTTGCACACAGTCAATTCTGGTTCAATCCCTGGCATCCCGTATGGTCCCTAAAGCCTGCCAGGAATAATCTGTGAGTTTAGAGCCAAAAGTAATCCCTGAATACTGCTGGTATGGCCCACAAGCCAATAAATAAATAAATAAATAAATAAATATGTAAATTGGTGGGTTCAAGTTTTAATGAAAAAGCGGGCATTAGCCTAGGATTTCCAATTTAAGTGGCATTTGCTTGTAACATCAATGTGTGAAAAAATTATTATGTTCTTTTAAAAATAATTTTTAGGTATCTGTTAATATATGGACAACAGTTCTTTGGGCAACGAATCTAGAAATCACACTGTCCTATTCTGGAGTTCAGACCAGGAAGTGAACCTGCTTAGGTTTTAACAGCAGCAATGGCCAAGGGAATAAAAGAACAGACACCACTTTCTGGTTGAATGAGGTCTGAGAATGTTAATCCAATATGTGCCCTTACTGTTATGGCTGCGAACCCCTTTTCCAGAATTTTCAGCACAGAGGGTGGTGTATTCCATCATTACCAGACTCAAAGAGTAGAAATCCATTATACCCTTGACTCAGTGTGAGGCATTATATTTTACAATTTAGAAATATTAGTAGCACTTAATTTAAATTTTGGTTCTTTGTTATTTCTTTATCATTTGGGCCACACCTGGCAGTGATCAGGTCTTGCTCCTGGTTCTGCACTCAGGGATTACTCCAGATGTGTGCCGGAGTGTCAGGGATAAAACCCTGGTTGACCATGTTCAAGGCAAGTGTCCTACTTGCTGTCTATTGTCCTGGCCTTAAACTGTGGTTCTTGTTTTAAAAAAACAAAATGTACATATTGACAGGAGAAATTTGGAGAAACAATGAAAGAATATTGTTTCTTATAATTTACATTGTAAATACTTTCTCCTATTAACTATTCTCAGAAAACACCCTTTTAATGGATACATGATACTCTTTTTAGTGAGGCAACATGATTTACAATAGTATTAATATTTATTTTTGTTACTAGCCACACCCACTACCAAAGTGCCAGTAACCCTCCACAGCTGTCATTAGGTCATTTTTCATCTATCCTCCCCTCCTCTCCTGTCTTCTATCCTTCAGTAAACTCAGCTCTGCTGATAGAACCTTAAGAGTTTATTTTCAATGCCACAATCTATTCCACTGTTTTGTTTGTTTACATTCCACACATAAGTAAGATCATCTGGTATTTGTCTTTCTCTTTTGGATTTATGTTGCTTAACATGGCACCCACTAGCTCCATCTTAATTGTAGCCAAAGGCAAGACTTCATCTTTTCTTATAGATGAGTTATATTACGTATTGTACCAATTTTTTTATCCATTTATCTATTGTTGGGTTCTTAAGTTATTTTTAGATGGTGGCTATTGAAAATAGCACTGCAATAAACATAGGTATGCGCATATCTTTTAAAATCATGCCAAAGAATGGACTGAATCATACAGTAGTTCTGTTTTCACTAGTTTTTCCACATTGTTTTCCATAAGGTATGAACAAAACTACTAGCTACCAACAGTGAACGATGGTTCCTTGTCCACTGCATCTTGCCATTTTTGTTTCTACTCATTTTGTTATAAGCCGTTTTCACTGGTGTGAAATTTCCCTGTCATTTTGACTTGTATAATCCTAATAAAAAAGTGATGCTGAAAATGTTTTTGTATGACTGTTAGCCTGTTGATCTTTGGAGAAGTTTCTATTCAGATGGAGCTGTTTTGTCATGAAACTTTTTGAGCACTTTATACACATTGGATATTATTCCTTTCTCAGATGCATGGTGTGCAAATATTTTCTTCCATTTGGTATGGTGTCTAAATGTTAGCCATAGTTTCACAGTGCTAAAGCTTTGTAGCATTATGTAATTACATTTATCTATTTTTTCTTTCTTTGCCAATGTAGTTTAATCATTTAAGACACTATAATGAAGAAAGTTATACTTCTCTTTTCTTTGTGTATTTTATGCATTCATTTCTAATATCAAGGTCTTTAATCCAATTTCTATTAACTTTGTGTATGTTGTGAAGTGGTGCTCCAGATTCGCTCTTTGCATATAATGTTCATGATAGTCTTGTGAATGTCCTACGATTTCATAAATTTGCCAGAAATTTTGATTCTTCTATTACTCTTGGCATGGGTAGTGTTACACTGATCTTTATGCATTTCCTATGACTTTATAATTAGTTCATTAGTGTAGATTACTTATATGAAAGAATATAGTTACACTTTCTGCTATATACTTTCAAAATTATTACCAGAGTACTTGTACAAACTTTCCCCCAAAGTATATAATTAATATAATAGGTTTTGAATATTTTATAAAATTAATCAATAGTATTATTTTTATTTTTGGGCCACACATAGAAGTGCTAAATACTTTCTCCTGGTTCTTTGCCCAGGGATCACTCCTTCTGATGCTCAGAGAAACATAGGCAGTGCCAGGGATTCAAACCAAGGTCAGCCACAAACAAGGCAAATGTCTTACCCCTCTTTGCCCTCAGTAAATACTTTATTTTTGTAACATATAGCATTTAAAAAGAAAGACACTTTACTTTGATATCAGAATAACTCTTCTTCCCTACACTTACCTCTTTCTCTTCACCCACTTAGTATAAGTGGTTTCTATTTTTTTATGATTGTTCATGTTTGAAAAGTCTCAAATACATCTAATCCATTTACATCAGTTTTCTCAACCAAAGCACACATATTTCTCTGTGGTTTTCCAGGATATTCCAATGAGGCCATAGGTGACAATTACATAAATGACAGGGGTGGGGGACAATGGCACAAGATTAATTGGCCAACTGAAAGGATAGAAAGGTTACGGGAAGAAAATAAGGTCAGAAGGTCTAAGGTTGAGAAGCACGGAAATAGATAAATGCTTGGGCTTAGTCAATTATAGTTCCCCAACCTAGTTCACAGTATCTATTTGTTTTCTTCTACTTCTTTTTGTTTGTTTTGGGGCCACATCCAGCAGTGCTTAGGGCTTACTCCTGGCTTTATGCTCAGGTATCACTCCTGGAGGGTTCGGGGGACATACGAGGTGCCAGGGATTTAACGCAGTCTACAGCAACCATACATGTATCGGGGAAAATGATAAGGGTTTGCCACTACATTAGTATCTAGAAGAAAGGGAGCTGGAGCGATAGCACAGTGGGTAGGGCGTTTGCCTTGCACACGGCCCACCCGGGTTAGATTCCCAGCATCCCATATGGTCCCCAAAGCACCGCCAGGAGTAATTCCTGAGTGCAAAGCTAGGAGTAACCCCTATGCATTGCTGGGTGTGACCCAAAAAGCAAAAAAATATATAGAGAGAAGAAAGTTCTTCGTGAAACTTCACATTTTAAAGTATCGCTCTTGATTTATATATATGCATAATATTTATTAGCATGTCTTTCCTTGTTACACCATATTATGATTTGCAGCATTTTAAATCTTAAGTAGTTGACCAAAGGAAAATGTCCATACGTGATAAACATTTCCTGATTAATATGTTTATAAGAAAATTCTTGTCATGATAATTATAATTGGCTCCTATTTTTCTAAAATATTAATTATTAAAGCATCAAACTGGAATGATAGTATTGGGGTAAGGA